GAATAAATTCAAATCAAGTCACAAGATGCTGAAGGTGGACCTCAGTGGGGAAAATTCCATTCGGCATGGAAATAATCAACTCTGAAAAAATATGCCACGAAGCCAAGGAGTACATAGGTGTTTGGTAGGTTCATGAACAAGGAATGGGACAAAATTCTGCCTGGGACCCTCATCTGGACCTTTCAAGTTGGATATGACTCTGGAACAAGAGGCCAAACCAAACCATCAACTGGTTTGGTTTGTTTGCTAGCTATTTTTTTTTTCACTTTATTAGTCAATTGTTACTCAACTGAGTTGGAGACAAAAACAGTTAGACAAGGTATTTAGACATTTTAATAGCCAATCAATCATGGGATATTGAAGAGCTGCCAGGTGGCAACATTATAAAGGAGGAAAATGTAAGTTTGGGGTCATCAGATCTGGGCTTGCAAACTAACTCTGCTTCTTACTAGCTATGTGGTTTGGGTCAAGTAACTTCAACTCTCTATGCCATACTCCTCTCATCTTAAAATAGAGGAAATAATGCCTACCCCCTATGGGTGTTATGAGTACTACGTGACATAACCCATGTAGACCCAGCACGTGCCTGCCAAACAGGAGGCACACAAAGAATGTTAGTTCTCCTCTCCTTGCCTACTTTGGTCAAAGTGTTGTGTTGAGTAATGTGAAGAAGGTGATCAAAGTTATGAATCTCTAAGAGTTCTTCCAGATCAGACATTCCGTAACTCTAACTTCTAGGGCAAGAGCCAAGCAAGAGGTCAACATCCATCCTGCATTTACTCTGAAACTAAGGAGGAGGCCACTAGCGGGAGATGTGGGAAATACTGAACCCCAGCTCAGCCTCTCCATCTGACTCCTCCCAAGACAGGGTTTTCGATCTCTTTGCATCTGGGACATCTTTGTGAGTTTGCTTCTGCAACACAAGATGAGGATGTCTAGTTTCCATGTCGTTGTCCACTGCTCCCCAAGTCTACCCACACCACAAACACCCAGAATGTAAGACATGACAGGACAATAGTGAGTCTCATTCACTTACTTTACCAATGGAGAAACTGAGGAAATGCCATGACTTTCCTAAAGACAAACTCATAGTAGATGGCAAAGTTGGGAAGACACTAATGTCTCCTTATTTGAGTCCAGTAGTTTCTCCACTACACCAGGATGGTCATTCATTCATTTCTTCCTCAATTTCAAATCAAGCTCCTAAAATGTGCCAGGACATATGCCTCACATGCCATAAGGGCCCACAGTGAGCCAGAACTTCCTTGGCCCTGAAATTCTAACAGCATGTGCATTGTCAAATACATACTGCTTGTCTCTCTTTTCCTCCCTGAGACTGCCACATGTTACATGGTCCTGATTAATTGGCAGAGTGAGAAAACCAAGGGAATCCGGCAGAGTGGACATTTGTTGATTTTTCCTGTCCAGAAACAGTACCTTAATAATATTTGGGGGAACTTCCTCTGCCCCACTGTGTACAGTTTTGTTGGGGCCATCACTCAAGCTGCCCTACTCTCTCTCTGGCAGTGGGTGGACTCACAGCCCAAGCTGGGCCAAACTCTCTCACTTGAATTCAAAGCTTGAATACAACAACCAAACCCTATGGAGCAGATCAGTGATGACCGTAACCCACTAAAGAAGTTGTCTACTTGTTCTTGCTAAATACATCCATGGAGCTGGTCCATTTCCATCTCTTCTGAGACCTAGTTGGTCATCTTCCTTTTAAGTCAATGGGCAGACTTCTAATAAATTCTTTTTCTGCTTAAGTTAAGTAGAATCAATTTCTGTGGCTTGAACACAGTGAATCTTGACTAATCTACTTCCCAGTCCAAGAACATTGTCCTAATGAAAGGTTGGGAAACAGTCAACTAAAGAGGTGCATGTAGTGTTAGGAACAGGTTACTTACTGGGTTTCTGATACCATCCAAAGGGGTAGGTGCGAACTTCAGTGTCAGGGGATCCACAGTCCAAAATACGCCAGGCACCTTCATTTTCCTCAGTGCATGTCTGAAGTCCCAAGTTGTTCAGAGTTAGACATGTCACCTCTCCCCCTGGAGCAAAAAATAGCCAGGACCAGGAAAATGAGCATGGTGTAAGATTCCAATTGAATGAGAGAAATTCTGCAAATGCATTGTTCAGCAGACATTTGGAGCCCACCACTATATTCCAGGTATGATCTTAGCCATTGCTAAAAACACTTGTGCTTGAATGTAAGGAGCCTCTGGCCTACGAGCACAGGGACAGAGGTAGCTAATATTTATCAAGCACCTATCATGTACCCAGGGCTGTGCTAGGCTCTGTTTGCATCATCTCACTTGATCTTCACACAACCCTATGAGGAGAACAGTATTTATATCTCTATTTATAGATGAGGAAATTGAGACCGAGAGAGATTAAGTAACTTGTCCAGAATCATACTACTAGTAAGAGACTGAAGCAGATTTTAAATACAGATCATATGGATGGATCCAAAGTTCACTCTACCAAGCTGCCTACACCGAGTCTTGAAAGATGAGCAGAAGACAGCTAAGTAAAGCATGGAAGGAAGGAAGGCTATTTCGGTCAGGAGAACTGCCTGTACAAAGTTGACAGATCACTGGACCAAGAGCTATGTCCCAGTTATCACATTTATTAACCACCTCCTCTCTCCAAGCCCCACTTCCCTACTTGTGAATAAAGATCACTCCTCCCCACCCTCCTTGAGAAGATGCTGAGGATGAGATAAGATCATAGATGTGAATGTTTTATAGACTGTAAAGTGCTGTACACAGGGGAGAGGGAGTTGTTATTATCACCTTTTAACTGGGAAACATTTAGAAATCCAAAGCCGGTGCAGCATGGGTCCACATCACACAGTCTTTCACATTCAAAGAACCTGGTGTAAGAAGAGAAAGAGCAGCACTGAAGGCTTTCGTTGGTGACCCAAGACCTACTGAGTGGCCTGAATTGTAGCCATTCTTACTTTCGGGGACCAGCTTTTGTTATGACTGTCGAAACTGGGAATGCTTTGGTCAATGTGCATGAGTGGATTCCTAGCTTTGAGGTTCTTTCTTACACCAAAATTCTACACTTTTCTCAGGAATGTTGTTTCCATCTTTCACTCACTCATTCATTCATTCATTCATTCAGCATATATTCCACGCCTATCATGTTCCAAGCCAAGCTGACCCAGGCTCCTGAGTGTGTTTCTGCAATCCTCTCAGGTAAGGAGAAAGTCTCAGCTTTGGACTCTGGGCAAAGGGAAAAGCAGTAGAGAAAGCATCTTTAGAAAGGGGAGATTTCATGGGCTTAGAGTCAGTGTGACCCCACCAGCAAAGAGCTGAGTTGTGTCCCCCTTGGTTTCCCTCTTACCAGTCACACTCTATGAACACAGTTCTGCTTTCTGGGCCAGTCCATCTGAGCCATCAGGACCTACCTTGCTTACAACTCAGTGTGGCTACTAGACCACACCCTCGGCTTCTAGGACCAGTCATGGCAGGAGGGACTTAGTGGATCCAAACCAGTGGCACCGGGCTCAGTTCTAAGTCACCTCTGCTCTGACCACATGTCACAGTCTGATCCCTCATTCCTGATTCCTGAGAACTTGCTGAACCCCTTAGTCCTTTTTTGATGTGGGGCCCCTTCCTTGTTCTTGACATTCTCCTTCCCTGAACCCAAGTCCCATTCTGGCGGTTGAAGCTTCTATCTACTGGGCAGCTNTTTCATGGGCTTAGAGTCAGTGTGACCCCACCAGCAAAGAGCTGAGTTGTGTCCCCCTTGGCTTCCCTCTTACCAGTCACACTCTATGAACACAGTTCTGCTTTCTGGGCCAGTCCATCTGAGCCATCAGATGAGAACTTGCTGAACCCCTTAGTCCTTTTTTGATGTGGGGCCCCTTCCTTGTTCTTGACGTTCTCCTTCCCTGAACCCAAGTCCCATTCTGGCGGTTGAAGCTTCTATCTACTGGGCAGCTTCTCCAGTGTGGGCTGCATGTCCATCCTGATGCAGGTGAGCCCTCTCCCTCTCCTCCACTCTCCCAGAACCCTGTCCACCTGCCCACCTGCCACTTGGAAGCCCACTGCTAAAGTCCAGCTTGACCATGCGCTTTCCCAGCTAACTAAGCTTTCCTGAGTCCAGATACACATGCTCTGCTACCCTAGTTTCTGTGCCAGCACCATGGTCAGCCTGATCCCTGGTTTCAGCCCTCCCTTTCATCCACTCTACCATCAGCACAGCAGTGTCCAACCAGATCTCAAGACAGACTAGCCTATATTATCTTCTAACCCCATTAAGTAGACCTTAAATGCCAGAACGTGATGCAGTTTCATAACCCAGCACTTCATAGGTCAACAGTGCCTGGATCAATGACTCTTGAATTTTAACGTACAAAAGAATCACTCGGGGGGTGGGGGGGGGCTTAAAGTTCAGATTCTTGAGCCCCACCGCAGGAATTGCTGATTCAGTAGGTCCAGGAATGAGCTTAGTAAAAGGCCTCCTGGTGATTCTGACAGGCCAGAGCCACAGACTACGCTGAGGGAAACCTCACCTTGAATTAAAACAACTAAATAGCAACTAAACAAATAAATACATAATAAAATAAAATTTAAAAATAGCAAATAAAATAAGTAAAAAGTCCTTATGAGCCTACGGTTCTGTTAAAAGTTATACTTGCTGTATAGATTCTGAATACAACACTGCGAGCTTTGAGATCAAGTTCATTACCTTGCTTGATACTTTTTACTAATTGACAAGATGCAGCTCAATACGGAGGCTCAGGGCTAAATTTTGTGTTGAATATCAGAGTTTACCTTAGCCAAGGTTTTTAGATATGGTTATCTCCCTATTACCTTTTTCCTGAGTCCAGATACACATGCTCTGCTACCCTAGTTTCTGTCCCAGCACCATGGTCAGCCTGACCCCTGGTTCCAGCCCTCCCTTTCGTCCACTCTACCATCGGCACAGTATAAAAAGGTTTTTATACTTCTGCCTTTAACTGTTATGGCATCACCTTCTTCATGGATGTAGAACAATCTTAATAATAAATACTCAGGATGGGGCAGAAGTAGCTTACCCACTGGAAATGGATTTTTCAGACATGGGCACTTTGTTTCTAATGGAAATCCCAGTCAGCTTTTGGAATGGCAGGCGAGTATAAAAGCTCTTCACTGTATCTTCCAGCACAACTACACAGAGGAAGAAAGAAATTATATTACTTAAGAGAGATTTGTTGTATCCGTGAAAATATGATAACAAAAGAGTAAAAGCCAGACCGAAAAGCTTCCGATTAAAGACGGCATATTAAACTCATGTTCTGACTCTCAGCTCCTACCCCAAATCTCACTAAAATAATAGTAAAGGGATTCTTGTAAAGGCATAAATACACCAGGAAAAAAAGAATAGGAGAGAGGAACTAGCAACAAAATTTTGGAAGCTAGAAAGCATGCAGAGGAGTAAAAATTTATTTAATAGGCCTCAGAAAGCTGACTCAACTTTTCTGTGAGAAGAACCAAGAAGCAACTCAATATGCCTTCTGGAGTCCCAAAAGGTTTAAGCATTGGCAGCACTGGGGCAAAGGCAGTCTACAATAGAAGGACTGGCTGGAAAACTCTTTGAGAAGGAATTAAATCTGCAGATGGCTCCTCTGCTTTCCACAGCTGACAACTGCCCTTCCTTACTACGAAGAAGATGGAAGGTTATTCTCTGGAGATGACAGAAGAGAGGGTCTCTCATGTGCACCAGGCAGCATGGCATGAGCACCATACTGAAAACAGGAAATTCTTTCAAGTCAGTCTGCACAGTGAACACTGAGACTCCCCGACCTCCCAACCTTGTTTGGTGCCCAAACCACTAGCAGTCAGGCTTTTGCCCCCAGGCCAGGTATTGAGAGATTCCCCTGGAGGAGGGGCCTAAAAATATTGATATGAAGAATCCCCCAAAGGGTGCCCAACTAGATTATCTTGCCGAGAAACCTAAAGTCAACAAGCTCCTGCCATGTACATGGAGCTTCCCGATCAGTCTTTGGGCCTCTCTTCCCTTTGAGTGGAAAACCAAGGGTTACCAGACATCTGAGAAGGGTCTTCCACAAAGAAAATCAAACAGTAAGAAGAGTGGCAACATCTGGAGGAAACAGAGACTGTACAAGGAGTAAAACTACCCCACCCCCAAAATAAAAAGCATCATTCATGTCCTTGGAGAGAAAAATTGACTTCCGTCTTGTTAAAGACACTGTTGCTGAACTTTTCTCTAACTGACAGGTGCACTAATGGTGGCTCTCTCTGAGGAGTGACACTCCAGAGCAGGGTTACCCTCTATAGTCAGCTTGATGCATTTCCAAATGGCTTCCCATCTCTACAGGGATCAGGGATAACTTTAAGAAAAAAGAAGAAATTAATCTGGATAGTTCTAAAATGCCAGAGCCAGAAGCCCATTGGAAATACAGTGTATGCAGACCCCACCACGAGCTCACCTTTTTTCCGGAACAGGGCCTTTGGCTTGTAGGGAAGAATCACCCTGCAACCCTGGGCACTGGACTCCAGGATGTCGTCACACACCTGGGCCTCTGGGTAGAGGGTGCAGGTGAAGTACAAGGGCACACTGTCTGCTATCTCTGCGAGCTGACAGAAGGAGGGCTCCTGCATACAACCTATACACAAGACAACAGCTGGTTTTTAGTTCTTGGGGACTCTAAAGGGAGAATTACCTCTACAGGATCCTCGGGGGAAAAAATTGCCTGGTATGGACTCTTCCTAGTTGCAGCAAAAGCCCAAGACAGTCAAGGCCATTCAGTCTGGAAAGTCCAAGCAAAAACACTGGGGTTCTGCTGGCTGGAGGGGGCCCAGTGGCCCTGAATAAAGGCAGAGTCTAAGAGGGGTGAGGCACTAGTCTCAAAATCAGCAATACCGGAGGTGAAATACCTATGGCCATCTCAGAGTCAGGATCTGCAGACCAGAGGCCACAGGATTATAGATCTGTGAACTTTGTGAATGATTCCCCCCCGCCCCCCGCTCATGTCCATGTCAGTCTTTGCCACTGGCACGTGAGCTCCCTGAGGACAAGAAACATGGTTTATTCATCCATTTGTCTCTTTTTAGCCCCAAAGGCAAACACAAGGCCTAGAACATAATGCATACTCAATAACTGCTGGACGGATGGATGTATAGATAGATGGATGGATGGCAGATGGATGGATGATAGGTTCTGGGAGCAGAATTGAGATTAACTACACTGTAACCTTCTTGAAGACAGAGGTTATGTCCCATCTTTCTGCTGTACCACCCATGGTACTAAGAGTATAGTGGTCCCTCAGTGATGCCACTAAGTTTGATCTCATCTGTGTCTCAGGAGTTGTTAAGCCAGGCCTGTGGTGCCTGACCACAGGGTTTGGAAGAAGATGGATAAGGGATAAGGGCACTTACGAGAAAGGCACCACAGGTTTGCCCGCTGGGCTGAAAACAGGTATTTGAAAAGCCAGTGCTGCCGGCTGGGCAGGGATCGGTTTCCATTGACAATGACCTGGTTAAGGTCCACAGGAGAGAAAAGTTCTGTTGTCAAATCTGAAAGAGAAGGAGAGAGTCAACTTCCTTTGCCTTTATCTCTACAGCAAATATGAAAGAAACACAAGACAGACAGACAGACAGAGACAGAGATAGAGAGAGAGATGTTTTTAGGCTATGTTAGGTCAGAGCAGGTCTGGAGCTAATAGGGCTAAAAGTCTGGTCAGGCAGAAAGGGTTCAGAAAGTCCCAGAAAATCCTAAAAATCATAGAGTTGCAAAGCCTTAGAATCTTGGCTTGGAAGAAGCCTTGGAAACCATCTGGTACACCTTTTCACCCAGTGTAGGACTTTTCCCCACAAGATTTCTGGCCAGTGCCCCTGTAGCCCTGCATGACATCTCTCTGCTGACCACAGCAGACTGCCCCATTGTTAGGGAGCTGTGGACTCCAATCCATCTCTTTGTAACTTTTAGCCACTGATGTTTCTTCTGTCATCTGATGCCGCATGGAAATCCAACCTCTCTCCCAAATGACAGCCTTAGTCTATGAAGACAACTTCCAGCTCCATTCAACCCCAAACCTGAAAGTTTCGGTTCGGCCATTCCCCCAGTCTTTCCCTGTGTCTCCACTTGGCTAGCACACTCTTTCCCCTGCATTCCCACTGCTGCCCCTGCCACACTGTCCTGCAGTGGCTGGCATGTGGGAATTCTCACTAGTCTGTGGTCATTCAAGGGCACAGCATACATGTTCAAAACACGTTTGTTGAATGAAGGAATGAATACCACAGCCACTTTATTTTGTTACTGGCTTACACTCCATGTTAGGAAAAAGCCATCTCCTACTTGTTCTCTTCAACCTTTATGCTCTCTTTAAAGGCAAGGGGACGAATATGGGGCTTGCCAGATGGTAGTTTGCTCTCTTGGCTTCCCTGTGCTTGTCTCAAACACTCGTACTGATTGCAGTAACCTGATGCAGAAGGGAAAATTCCTCTTGGTGCTTTGAATTGGAGAGGTCATTCTCAGAGACCCTGAAAAGCACAGTCCAAGTAAATGAACACATGGAGAAGCTACCTGGCCCTGATTCAATGGAATCTCTCCTTAAGGCGCTTTATCTTCTTAAGCCCAGGAATGTAATCAACTGAGAAGCTGATCTTTGTCTATTCACCCTGAATCCCTCCAAGGTCTTGGGCAGGGGCCAAGCTCCCTTTCTAGGGGAGAGGGAGAATGGGGGGTGGGTCTTTCTTGTGGGAATCATGTGAGAGCTTTGTAAATGCAGCCCCAGCACAGTGTACTGTATAATGATGGATTTTATAGAACGTTCTCAAGTGCCACTGACTCATTCACGTTGACATTGCCATGAGCTGTATGACTAACCCTAAAAGGCACTGCTGAGGTTAGGGATCACAAAGGCAAATGCTCTGGATCAGGCAGGGGAGGGCAGGAGTGCAGGGTGCTGGGCATTTTTCAGGCACCTGTGAAATACCAGGCAATGTGCCAGGTGTTGTGTCACCTAATGAGAGAAGACGTAGCAAGTTCCTTTTATTCTGCACAAGAATCCAGGACCCTTAGCAGGTCAGCAAATTACCCATGGCCATGCAGTTAGGAGTAAGTGGCAGAGAAGTGGCTCAAGCTCTGGGCTACCTGTTTGCAATGTGCTGTTCTCCCATCACACCATGCTGCTTCCTGTGCCCTGTGCCCACTGCTCTGCCTCCCACCCCTGCCTTCTTCTCCCTCCCTCCTCTCCCCCTCTCCCTCCTTCCTCCCTCTCTCCCTCTCTGCCCCCCTGAGTTTTGGCTTCATCTCACTCATCACAGTTGTAGACTCTGGAGGTAGAGGTCTCAGAAATCACATATGTGCTGTCTGTATTAAAGTTTGCATTCATAGCCTCCACTGCATGTCACGACTCTCTTTAAAATGATTCTCATAGACAACTCATTCATTAAACAATTTCAGAATATTTACATTTTGCTTACACTCTTCAGGATTGATAGAAGTGAAGTTGCTGACCACAGCCAGGTGAACGCTGCTCTTTAATAGTGTTTTTCTGGTTTTGTTATTAAGGTTGCTTTCTTTTCTAGCAACAGTGGTGAATCAGCAACAATTTCACTTCACTTTCTGTGCCAGTTGACCCTCTGAGGAATCGTATGTATTTATGAAATGGATAATTGGCTGAGAAGTTTGGAGGAGAGTCTGGCTGCAGAACAGAGTGGTGTGATAATGGATCCATTCACTGAATAAACCTTCGTATCACCATCTTGCCTCCATAGTCAGATACCCAAGTGTGTGAAAAGGTTTCTGGTCTGGTACCTGTTTCTGTCGGAGATGCTGGTCTTGGTACCATATCTCTTCTACATTCCATAGACTCAGGTCGAGACCCCATGTCAGAATCTAGGAGGGAAAAAAAAGTAGTAGCTGTAATGTTGGGGAGAAGGGATGATATTCCTCTGGTCAAAAAGTGATAGTAACAATGTGGGAAACTCTCATGGCTCGTGGCCAGGTGCCTGGATGGGATCTGGGACAGATGCAGTGGCACAGGTCTGCTGCTCCCTGGGCATTTATGGCACATCAGCCAACCTCTCAATAACAGAGCTGGCATTGTGTGTGATACTGAAATTATTAACATTTCCAGAGTTCTTTAGAGTTAACAAAATACGTTCATAAATGTTGGTGTTTACAGCATCATTCGAAGGTAAGGAGTAAGATTTCCATTTTACTCTTGAGAAAACTGAGACTCAGAGAGGTGAAGTACTTTATCCCAGACAACTCAGGTGGTCAGTGGCTGAATTGGAATTTGAAAACATTTAATGAAAAGTCCACATCAGAAACAAGTCTTCCACGAAAGCAGAGGGAGCCTACAGGGAGACGAGGGCATCGGGCAGGGCCTCAGGCACTTCTGTGCAGTGTGGCAAGCACCCTGGCGAGAAGCAGCTCCTTCACTGTCACCAGCTAGCACCGTACAGACCAGAAATTTCTGATAACTGGGACGCACNCCCCCCGCCCCCCGCTCATGTCCATGTCAGTCTTTGCCACTGGCACGTGAGCTCCCTGAGGACAAGAAACATGGTTTATTCATCCATTTGTCTCTTTTTAGCCCCAAAGGCAAACACAAGGCCTAGAACATAATGCATACTCAATAACTGCCGGACTGATGGATGTATAGATAGATGGATGGATGGATGATAGGTTCTGGGAGCAGAATTGAGATTAACTACACTGTAACCTTCTTGAAGACAGAGGTTATGTCCCATCTTTCTGCTGTACCACCCATGGTACTAAGAGTATAGTGGTCCCTCAGTGATGCCACTAAGTTTGATCTCATCTGTGTCTCAGGAGTTGTTAAGCCAGGCCTGTGGTGAGCTTCCGATTAAAGACGGCATATTAAACTCATGTTCTGACA